GTACTGCAACACTTAAACGGTTTCTAATCACAGGAAACACAAAGCAGGCAACAAATCATAACCAAAGAGGTCCTCTGTCTTGACTGAGATCTGCTCAAACCTCCCAACAGCCAAAGAGATGAGAAAACAACAGCCAGGTTGGCTGCAGCCATTTGAAGCAGGTTAAGTCAGCACCCAGTCCCAGCCAAGCCAAGAACTCTCACATTGCCCAACAATTCCAAAGCTAAACCTCTCCCAGAGCAATTTATTTGTTGATTAAATACAGCAATTTTTGTCACACCACCCAGATTTCCTGCTTGTAAAAACAGAAGATGTGTTTGAGCAAGCAGGAGATTTCTTCAATACAGTTAAAAAAAATGGAGAGTAATAAAAAAATAAATCCACCAAGTTGCTCAATAAACTGAAACTTCAGTCTCTTCCAGGAAACATTCCCAGCTCAGAGAGAAGACTAGTGCATGCTAAAATTTAAAAAGCATTCTGCTGCAGCATTCAGCCTTTAAAATTAAACCCAACAGCTTCTCTCTGTTATTTAAATGATCTCCTCCAGCTCAGAAGGGCTATGACCACGGCCTAAGTTACTTAACTCACATTTCTATTGACTGACTTGCATAAAAATAAGCCACATTAATGACTGAGCTGACATTTGGTACACATCACCACAAAACTCATTTCAGATCAAACATCACCCCGTACAACCTAAAAATATTTCCAGCCTTCTCGCTGGAAGCCTCTCGTCCAAGGAAAGGATTTTCAGATTTACATTATCCTCCCCAAACTTTGGTCTTCTGGAGCACCAGCGGTGCAGAATCAAAGGATTAAAGGAACACCGGGATTTTTATTTTCTTTTGCCTCTGACTGAGTGTGTTACGTGCCAGGAGCAAGTTAACCTGTAACTGCAGCTTAACCAGCGCCGTGTTCTCGTTATCAGCCGAGGATTTCCGCGCCCACAGACACGAGATTCCTCTCCAGGGATCAACACCCAGAGCAGCACCGCGGCTCCTCCAGCCCAAGAGACCTCCAAGCATCCACTTGTTGCCTTTGAAAGACTGGATTGGACCTTTTTTTTTTTTTTTTTTTTAATAATTGCCACAGCAGCCTCAACGAGCAGGAACTGTGTGTCTTCTTCCCATTAAAGGAAGGAGCAGGCTCGGCAGCGACCGGAGCAGCTTCCAAAAGACTTAATCCAGATCTTCCAGGGAGCAACACAAATTGGTTTATCCATCCCTGCACCTTCCAGAGGCCTCCCGGAGAGGCAGGACACACACACATACACACAGAGAGCCCTGGGTGTCACCTCCTGCACGGGGAAGGAACTCCCAGAGCTGAATGAAC